AACCTAGATCTGTTCCTGCAGTAAAATGTTCCACTGAGCTAGTTTAGAAACCAGTGCCTCTATAGTGGGAAATTACTTAGTGCACGGATAGAGAGAGTACCATTAGTGGGCTGAGAACCAAATACCACAATAAGGAAACCGAACCATTCACAAGGGGACATGTAAAAACACAGCAGCTGATGTTGAACTAAGCTGCACCCAACCGTACAAAAGTATCACTTTTCACATCCTGCAGTTACCAAATGCATGTCTATAATCTTATTGGCAACTTGTTCACTCAAACAATCTGGTTTTCAATTAAGGCTCTGGAACAATAGAAGGAAAATGCATCCTAAGATCCTTCCTTAGATCAAAAAGTTTTAGCTGGAAAATATATTGTATACTACTGCAAAAATATTTGGACAAATAATTACCTACAAAAGTTTAATGCTGGCAAAAATAAAACAAACAGTAAAGTTTTAAAAATACGTACTCTCTGCATATAGTTCTTGCCAGGAATTTCAAACTATTCCATAGCATACAGTTCTCTTAAAAACAAGACTCAGACCCACTGCCTCTTGGTCCGAGGAACTTATTCTGAAAGCCACCCACTGACCATCTATATAGGTTTCATCTAACTACTTAAAACTACAGCAAACAAGTTTCCAATGGTCAGGTGTACAGTATTATCCTATATAATAAAAGCCTAATATGCTAAGTGTCCGGTCATCCGTTCAACCAATCAAAGCGTAACATGCTAATGATATGCTAAGGCTGCTCAACCGCTCGCTATGACTTGCACTGACCACCAGGGGGCAGAGAGTTGACCAGTCGATCAATCGCTATGATATACATTGACCACCAGGAGGCAGACAGTCTACCGGTCGATCAGTTGCTATGATGTGCACTGACCACCAGGGGGCAGACACTCTGAAGGGTAGGTTAGCTTGCTACTGGCGTCCAGCAGATCCAGACTGAGTGAAACAGACCAGACATGCCCTGGAGCCCTCCCTGCCTGGCCAACCTCCCGCGTCCCTCCCCAACCCTGATCATGCACCGGTGGGGTCCCTTGACCTGGCCTGCACCCTCTCACAATCTGGGACCCCTCAGGGGATGTTAGAGAGCCAGTTTTGGCCCAATCCCGCAGGCCAGGCCGAGGGACCCCACTGGTGCATGAATTTGTGCACCGGGCCTCTAGCCATTAATAATCACAAGTAGTCATAAGGAAGAAGAGATTTGCTTTCTCTTCAGTACAAAAAAGGACACAGAAATTGAAACATACTAAAAATGCAAACTGACCAAATGAAAGCAATGAGCCGGGGACTCAGGAAATGCCAGGTATAAGAGTCCATCAATTGATCAATGCAGGCAGTCAACTCTGTGACTTGATGTTTAAACCTCTCAACTCCTCCACACTCACTCACACCGAAGGAAAAACAAAAAGCCATGCACACTTATTTTTGCAAAGAACAAATTTAGGGGCTTGCTGTTTTATCTGCTTTAATTATGTTCTTTAAAGGATGTACACAATATCAACTTCCAAAACTCTGTATGGCAACTCAAATTACAGAGTGCAAACTTGGTTATAAACCAAGAAATATCATTAATTCTTCTAGCATAATAAGTGCTCTTCTGTTCATTTGTTTATTTTTACTTCAGGGATTCATAAACTATTAAATAGGGCACTATATTCAGACATGAAAGCTTATTTCTAAAAGAGTAAATTAATGGAGTCACTCTATTAATCTTATAAATTATGACCCATTTTTCATAAATGAGATACACAAGTAAATCGAATTTTATTATTTTGCTGCCAAACATAAGTATTATATTACAAAAACTGTAACATTTATTCAAAACCATTCGTGTAAAATATCAAAGTTCAGAATTGTAATAAAGTGTTTTATTAGCATAAAAGAGTTTATGAGCAAATGTTACCAATTCCTGCATCATTTCTCCAAAATAGTGGATTGCCATAAAGAACAATATATGTAATATTCATTCACCCCCGAAAGAAGAAAGTGGTTCATTACTTTTTTCTTTACTTGTAATAAACTAAATTTCACTAAGTGAACAGTTTACAAAAAAAAAAAAGAATCAGGTCATCTAGAGTTAATAACTCTTTCCCGTAAAATTAGTGTCACTTATTTCTGTAGCAGACGCCTAATTCAGTTATAGGCTTGATTGATTTGACAATAGAGAATCTGGTCCAATAAAGTGGCTGATTTATTTCTGATGCTATAGCTTTTACTCTAATGTGACATCATAGTAGAATTAAGTCTCTGACATGTAAAGAAATCTTTGTAATTAATGAAAACTAAACATTCTAAGAATGGATACAGGAATATTGTCAAATACTTATATTAAAATCTAATACCTTCTTTTGATAGAATGAAAACTTCCACAAAGAGCATAACACAGAGTGTGGACTTGCACACAAAGAATAGTTTAGAATATACCATATATTCTATGAGTTTAAATTGTTCTTCTCTACGCTAATAGATCTTATTTTGTGTTTTTGTCTCTCTTTGTAAGCTAATTCTCTTTAATTTCTTGAAAATGACCTACCTTCTCTTTGTTAAGATGCAACTTAACACCAAGCATCACTCATCTCAAAATGGTTTCATTTTAAATAAACAGCAGCTTGAGCAAAATCAATGAGAATCTTTGTTCCCGAATCCGGCTCTGAGATATTCAAGCCAGTCAAGAAGGCGTTTGGGATGTGAGAAATTATAAGGGTGGGAAGAGTTTTTAATGTAGCATCGTAGTCAGTTCTCTAAAACTATTTCTTAAAAATTCTTTTCCAAACTAAAAATGCAAGGCACTTCATAGTTATTTAAATGTCTTTTTCTCTCTTTTTCCTTTTTTGCACACTGCACCATGCCCTCTCACTCTGAGGGTGACTTCCCTGACCCCAGTCTGACACTGCACCGTTAATGTCAGATAAACCATTTAGCCCAAGCACAATTCTTTTCTGTGCAAAAATCTGCTTGAGGTGGAAAATGTAGCAGTTTGTAAACAATAAAGAGCCATGTTTCAGACCAGACAGCTTATCTAACAGAGAAGGCCTTTCATTGGGAACAGTGGGTGGGAGCCTCCGGACATAGTAGCATTTCCTATCACAATGCAGGAGACTGTCTTGGCCTCCATATTTAAGAGTTTAATGGGAAGGAGGGCAGAAGGGATAAAAGAACACAGCTGACATGACTTTCAGCTTAAACAACAGCTAAGTGAAAAGAACTCTCCCTTCTAGCTCTACACAATCATCCCGCTTATATTTTAAATATTATTTGGGTTGAAAAATGAATTTGGTTGTTAAAACAGTTGCCCATAGGACAAAGGAACAATAATTACTTACTATCTTTGTATCGCTTGACATATTCTATAATATTAATTTATCAAATTGTTCTTTAGGAAAACTTTTTTAATGTATAGTACATGAATTTCTAAATAGAAATCATAATTTATTTATTCTATTTTACTTACTTTACCTTGGACAGTTTTAGAACCTACTAAGGAAGTTCTTTAATATACTCTTCAAGTGCTACTTCTCAAGATTTTTATTTTCAAATTATTTTTTTTCTATTTTATGAAGTTGGGTGAGGATGAAAAGAGAAGCAATGGCATTAGAATTTAAAATTATTACTACTGTCATTGAAGTGTCTAAAGTTGTTTTTTCACTTTTAAGTTGATAACTAGCTAGCCATCTGCATCTGTGCATCCTGAAAACAGAAAATGTGTTGTACCTTCCTATCAACAATGGATGAAAAACTGGGATTCCTGTTTTAGCTATAAAGTTGAAACATATACATATATACTTACCATTTTAAAGTAAAAAAAGCACAAACAGAATAACAACCTATAATCAAAGAGAATGCTGTGACTCTCAAAGTTGGGATGACACGTAAGGGCACAACATATATTACCCATTAAAAATAAATTGCTAGTATTTCTCTGCTTTGTCTATTTTATGATAAATATCTGAAATTCCTCAGATGAATTTAATGTGATTTGAGGGGGTGGGGTAAAGACAGATTCAAGGACTATCTACCCCCCCCTTCAATAACAAGTAACTATACAAGGCTTAAAAATAGAGACATTCTTTAAAAGCATTTGCAATTATGGTTTCAGAATGATGTAAGTATGGCTGTATGTTTTTCTTGCATTAAGAAATTCAACTTCATTTATTGAGGATTCTCAAAAAAAAAATTGGCCAAGTTGAGAGATTTACTAACATTGTTAAAAACTCACATTTTACTAGAACAAATATTATTTTTTCAATCATAAATAAAGTAACCAGCTATTGAGACCTTTTAAGCCATTATGAATTATCTTTTCATTGCTTAAGGTACTGCTGTTAAACAAACATCCCACAGGGTAGTAAAAGCAGAAAACTATACTAACCAGTAGAAAGGGCATGCAAGAAGCTCGCAGACTGTCTCAAACAACACATAGCTTGTTCTCAGTGAAGTAGGATGATGCCTGCCTAGACCACTAGCACTGTAGTTTACCTCCTGATAAACACACAATGAGATTTTACAATTCAACTTGAAGGCACTACTTTGACTTAAACATAATAAACCTATATGAATTATTAAAGGGGTTTCCATAACCTTATTAATAAAAATTCACAGTTAATACTGACGATATCTCATTGCCAATGAGCAGGCACAAATACATTTTTATTTTAAGTATTCACCACTTTTTATCTCATTAACCTTTACTTAGACAAGTACTATTGCATCACTGAAATTGTGATAAATGCTTAGTATCTAAGGAAGACAAAATGTTCCATGTAGATTCCATGAAATTCTGTAATTCCACATAGTAGGGAAACTTAGTTCTTCATGTGTTATTACCAAGCACAGACTATCAATATTTCCCTCCAATTTAAAATTACTACAGAGAACTGACTAAAAATCCAATTTCCTAAAAACAGAACATCTGTCTGGGTTTTTGTTCTCCCTTCCATGGTAAAACATTCATTCAAAAAAGCCACGTTAATTTAAAATTTGTCTTACTTTGTATTCTGGAATTGACAAAAGGTGGAGAGAGATTGTCATGTGACCCAAGGTCCCTGCTGGTCATGTGGTCATAGGGAGTCCCATCTCCATAGTTCTGTAAATAAAATAACAGCATTTACATACATTATCTAATTCAATTTTACATGAACAAAAATCAGCACATAAATTGCCCACTAGTGAGTCCTCTCTGACCCAAAGCAATTAAAAGTCCATCATTCTGACCCAGGAACCTCATTATAAGGAACCTGAATTTTCACAGGTACAGTAGTTAAGAGAGGGCTCTAGAGTCTGCAGAGTTCAAATTTTCTTCATAATTGTTGTGAAATCTAGGAAACAATAATAATTGAACCAACTTGCATGAAATTGTTGAAGTGGTTAAATGAAATAATGCCTACAAAACACCTGACATAAAATATATTGTAAATATTACGTTATTATTTTGATAGGCCCACATTGTTTTTCTGAAAAAAGCAAGGCTGTACTATAAGAGAAAATACCCACAGCCTGTAATCAATAGCTTTTGAAAGATCCAGGTAGAGGCTTTGAAAAAGCAACACATGGTTTTTTATGATATTGAAATTGCAATGTTTGGTTATAGGTTGTTATTGTGGTTGTAAGAGAACTGGATCATTCCACAAGTAATTACACATAGAATATTAAAATTATTATAATACTAGAGGCCCAGCGCATGAAATTCATGCACTGGGGGGTGGAGGGTGGGGGGAGGGGGGGTGTCCCTCAGCCTAGCCTGCACCCTCTCCATTCTGGGACCCCTCGGGGGATGTCTGACTACCGGCAGTCAGACATCCCTCTCTCACAATCCGGAACTGCTGGCTCCCAACCATTCACCTGCCTGCCTGTCTGATTGCCCCTAACAGCTTCTTCCTGCCAGCTTGATCACCCCCTAACCACTCCCCTGCCAGCCTAATTGATGCCTAACTGCTCCCCTGCCGGCCCGATTACCCCTAACTGCCCTCCCCTGCCAGCCTGGTCACCCCCAACTGCCCTCCCCTGCCAGCCTGGTCTCCCCCCAACTGCCCTCCCCTGCCGGCCCGGTCGCCCCTAACTACCCTCCCCTGCCAGCCTGGTTGCCCCTAATTGCCTTCCCCTACAGCCCTGGTCCCTCCCAACTGTCCTCCCCTGAAGGCCTGGTTGACCCCAACCACCCTCCCCTGCAGGCTTGGTCACCCCCAACCACCCTCCCCTGCTGGCCTGGTCACCCCTAACTGCCTTCCCCTGCTGGTCTGATTGCCCACAACTGCCCTCTCCTGCTGGCTATCTTATGACTGTGGGCACTGCCATATTTGAGGGTGGGGCAGTCAATTAGCATATTCCCTCCTTATTGGCCGTGGGCGCCACCATCTTTGCGACAGCATGAGGGTTAATTAGCATATTCCCTCTTTATTAGATAGATGACTATGAATGAACATCACAAATTTGCATAAATGAGTACTTCTGGGTTTGGACAAAGTGTACCACAAAAAAAATGGTTTTAAAGCAGACATTAACTTTGTCATTATTAAGGTCAACTCATTGTTTTAATGGGAATTTAAAATTAAAATAATGTTTCTAAACTGCCGAGTCACTTACTTTTCGTGGAGGAATTGATAACATATATGAAAGCAAAGCATGTACTTGTATATTATATGGTTCAAATTTCAATCTACAAAGGTGCATTAAATAGCCCAAAAGGAAAAGAAAAAAAAATGTCATTTTGTTCAGCAGGTTGCACTGCCCATAACGACTAAGTCAAATTTACTCAGAGGTGTCAGTTGGCAAGTTAGCCAAAGGGCAGAATATGCTCACATAAAAATGACAGATACTGTATGAAAAATGAAAATGAACGTCAGCTCACTAGAGAATAACTGGAACCCTTAAAGTTCCAAACAAACCCATTCTCAATTGCCTTCCCTCATTTATAGAAATTAATTAAATGATGCTGTAATCTGACGCTGTGACTACGTCAGTGCAGAGAAAGATGCCACATACCCAGTATGGGTTTTACACTCACTCATTCTTTACCAAGCATAATACTGGTTATTATGAAGGGTCCCTACCCTAAAAAGTATTCTAAAAGCTTAACATACATTATCTAATTTAAAACTCTGCATAGTACTGCAAGGTAGCTGATAGTATCGCCATTTTAAGATGAGATAGACTTAGGCTGCAAGGATACAAGTCAGCCACAATAACTTTCTCATTCAAACTCCCTGGATTTAGAAAATATAAATAGCAAAATATTGATTCAAATTATTCACCAACGTATTCCCTGAAAAGAATGGCAGAACAGTTAATGAACACTAAATAAAATTCAGGATGATCCTAACCGGATCTTGTTCTCAGAAATATAATTAAAAGTACTGTGTGTATTAAACTGAGAAATAGTAAGAAATTAAGTAAGTCTGAATGAACTAAACAATGGAGGGAAGCACTGTCATCTCCTACACTTGCTGTCAAGGAGAATGGATTTATTTCTGCAAGTGCAGACTGTAACATGAGGAGGAGGAAAGATTTCCTCAACCCAACCATATAATGCATTAGAATGTCAAACTCAACAGCTGGTACAAGGGCTGAATAAAGTTACTGGTAAGCTTAGAGACCCTGCTATACCTTGAAGACTAGAGTGAGAACGACAAGGCCAAAGGATGGGTAGGAATGAGTAACTACGGCTTGCTGAATTGTCCTCATTTTGACAGCTTGATTACCTACCTTCCTTGCCTCTTATGCCAAAACAGAGACCACTCCCCCTCCCCCAAATTTATGTGAATACTTAGAGCAAAATGCTCCCTGCGGAATGCTTCGTCTATATAGCTGGTTGGGGGAGGTACAGATGGTTGCTCAGCTATGGGCTCTAAGTCTTTTTTTAATTTGGGGCATGATATGCATACTATAAAAGCGGGCATGGATTCTACAGAGCCTAGAAACGATTCAGGTGAAGTCAGATTATATAAGTTGGAAGGAACATAAAAGACCCTCTGGTTCTACTTCTTCATTTTATCAATTAGGAAAATGAAGAGCAAAGAGGTGAAATGACATGCCCAAAGCCATACACATACAAAAACATGCATGACCTAACCACTCCTTTCCCTCCCATTCCATGGCCATTCCGTTACATCAAAACTCACAACCAATTAATAATGGAGGAAATCCATGAAAAAGAATAGCAAAAATCTGAGACCAAACAAATGAATGAATCTCACTGGTGACCAAAGGCACTACTGGTGGAATAATAACATGTTCACAAAGTGAAATCAACACAGATTTATTATGTAGAGTATATTGATAGGCTAGTCCTTCACACTACATCTTCAGAATTATTCAGTAGTCTATTTACACCAATATATTACAGAGATACAGTACTAGGATTTTTTTCCAAAGTTGTGCCAGCTACAAAAAATAACTTTCTATAATACTAGATCAATAACTGGCAAAGTAAGGGCAAATATTTAATGAAGGATTTTTCTTCTGGTTAGCAGAAGTAGAACAGGTGTCAAATTCAATAACAGCATCCAATAAGAGAATGAAAAAAAAAATCCAAACACAAGCTGATCCTCATTAAACTTAGTGCGAATATATATCTGTGCAGTTGTGTGTGTGCTTGAGAGAAACTCACCTTCGCTCTGTCAATTTACATATGCGGGGTGTCTGGATGTGGGAGAAGAGATTAGATATACTTACCCTGGACGGGCTTGGATGTCCTCCATTCCCCCAGGACCCTGAGCTACTTCTGTCTTCTACATCTAGGGACAAGAGAAAAGTTCTTTAGGCTTTCTTGCAATAATTCTTTCTTTTTGTGTATGCACTTTTAAATTAATGTTTCAAATTAATCTCCTGTTGCCTTTAATTAAGAATCAGGCACAGGGCTACCACAATGATAGTGGCTTCTGACCCATCTACTTAAATTAACTCATTTAAATTCACAGCAAAAAAGTGAACTGGACCCTCAGGAACCAGAGGTATGAGCATAAAAAGTACTTCCATCTTTCACAGTGTTTCATAGCCTCGACTTTTATAGGCATGAAACTGCGCTGCATGTTTTATTTAAATCTTTAGGACAAAATAAGTGTAAATACACTAGCACAACCTTAGTAAAAAAAAACAAAACAAAACAAAAAAAAACAAAACAAAGCTAAATTCAGGTAAATATTCATACTAACACTGGCAGCATCCATGCCATAATGCTCCTGAATACTCTGGTCTCTAGCCCCGCTTGTCACACCAAACAACAGACATGCAGCAACATACACACGACAAAAAAGAAGTTGGTCATCTATTTCTACCAGTGCACTATATGGGCATCAGGATTTTGCTTTTAAAGTTGAGACAACATTGTCTCAGTCTTTTTTTTTTTTTTAAATAGAGTTGGCCAGTTGGTCTACAATCCTTAATCTGGGCATTGAGATGTGGAAATTAAAGTTGTCCAAGTTTTACTTTGATAAATGACAGTGGAGTGACCTACTTGAACTACGGGAAAAGTTGGCATTCTTCTAAAATCTGCAGCAGCAACGTTCTAATGCTGACCAGTTGCTGAATGCTCAAGTGACAAGTACTCAGGATGGAGAATATAAAAACTAAGTTATCATATTAATTGCTTAAAACATAAAAGTGGTTTAAAATTTTAGAGATCAGTCACTCTATATTTAGAAGCAGCTTTGAGATTTTTGATGAAAGGCCCCTTAGAAGCATAAAAAGTTCCGCTGTTCTATTATTTTGATCACGGTTGATAACAGATGGCCATCACAAACTTCCTCTGACAGCATTGGAGGAGGAGGTGTGAAACTTTGGTTCAGCAGACATAATCCCATTTATTGTGTTTCCTAACATTTCAGTGATATTGTTTATTCTCTTTCTGCACTACTGTCATTCCTTCTATTACTGCTATTTTATTATCAGCAAAAGCAGTCATAGTATAATTAATTGACTTATTTTGGGGGTACAGTGGAGTACACATTGTTTTAGAATACCTTATGAGATGGAATAGAACAACAATAAAAAACAACTATTAGCACTAAACTTGAATTCTTTCTTTCTTAAACAAATTATTTTGGTTCCTTTTTCTTTTTTCTTTTGGTGCTTCAGAAGATAATGCAACAGCAAATAGACGCCCCCTGTGGACAGGTAAAATCAGGGACTGTGAGTTTTAAGGAATGTCAAGAAAGCTCTGGGGCATGTGTCCAATCTGGATAAAAGGTGCAATACTTTCTCCAAATTTGCTGTTTAACAACCCAGCCTCCTGGCCTATCCTGTGTATGCGGAACTGAAGTACATGAAGAAATTACTTAGAACCCTCTGGATTCTCACATGAATAAGTTTTGCACTTCATCCTTAAGCAAAAAGCAAATATTTTCAGCAAAAACAAACAAAAAAACACTGTGACAAAAATCTCTCGAACATTTCAGCTTTTCAGAAGTCTGGCACATCTTAACTTCCTTTTTACCTGAAATAGTCAGTTCGGACTAATTGGAGAAACTTCTGCTCTTAAATTTGGCCAACAAATAATGAAAGAAAAGGGATGAATCCCTATCTCTACCATAAGATGCTGTCATATTGTTCAGAGACACTCTATCTTTTCAGTTTTTAAAAAAGGTTTTAAACATAAAAAGTAGGCAGAGCCTAGCTGGCTTTGCTCAGTGGATAGAGAGAACATTCACCTGCAGACTGAAGGGTCCTGGGTTCATGGTTGCAGGCTCCATCCCCAGCCCTGGTCAAGGAGTGTGCGGAAAGCAACCAATCGATAAGTCTCTCTTACATCTATGTTTCTCTCTCTCTCTCTCTCTCTCTCTCTCTCCCTCTCTCTCGTTTTTCCCCCTCCCTTCCACTCTCTAAAAATCAATGGAAAAATATACTCGGGTGAGGATTAACAACACAACAAAAAAAGTAAGCAGAGAGGAGGAAATAAGACCATAGTAATGCCAGGCTAGCAGTTCTCCACCAGGGGCAAGTCTGGTCCCCAGAGGACATCTGGCAATGTCCAGATAGATTCTGAGTCATCCCAGCTTCGGGGGGATGAGGGGAGAGGGTGTACTAGCATCTAGTCGGTAGAAACCAGGATGCTGCTAAGCATCCTACGGATACACAGAACAATCCCCCACAACAAAAATGTTCTAGTCCCAAATGTCAATTGTGCCAGGATAGAGAAGTCTTGTGCTAGAGGAAAAATCATATTAAAGAGCAAAAAAGAGAGAATTGAGTTGGAGAACAGATATACTAGAATTTGATTTATAATTTAGTACGAACTCTTACTAATGCAGAGTGACATGCATTTTTAATCCAGACTTGAGCTGTAGTGTTGCAAGAGACCTTCATATACATGTTCTATCCACAAAAATAAAGGGAAAATGATGGTCAACCATGCAGTCTGCTAATTAGCAGGCAGATAAAACACATCAAAACTTGAGTATTCCCAATTGGGCAATTTTAAAATCGAGCAATCCACTAATTAAAAATGCTGCACGTTTAGTTTTTTCAAAACAGGTTAAATACTGGCTGGGTTCCTTTACAAATAGATTCTCAACCAATCAAATCTTTCTGCTCTTTTGCCATCCTTTCCCATTTCCACCTTTCTCATTTCCTGACCTCATGCTATGTGCCTTCCTCCTTGTTACTGCTCTCTTTTTAACAGGTTTTGCTGTCCCTTGCCCTCCTGCTAGATCTAGAAGATAGGGAGGAATTCCTAGCTCTCCAAATCCTAAGAGAACAATCATATGATTGTTGATTAGATTTTATCTTTGAAACTATATCTGTATAACTGGTGCTCAATCATCTATAGCAAGAAAACACAAGGCTAGAACATGGATATTTGTAACTCATAATGAATGTAAACATGCTACTTTTATGTTTTTTGTTTCTATCTTCCCTCCCACTGAGTTTCATCAGACCTGCTGGTACATTGGCATGTATTCCCTCAACAACTACTCCAGCACTCTCAAAGTGCATCTGAGGACCACTGTGCATCTGAATCACCTGGTGTGCTCATCAAAGAGTAGCATCTTAGGGTCCAAGGCAGACCTAGTGAGTCTGGATCTCTGGGAACAGGATCAGGGTCGGGGAAAAACACTGTGTTTTTAACAAGGTCCCCAAGTAATTTTCATGTACACAGGTATTCGAGATCCACCAGCCTACTCTATTGGAAAGTCAAGACAGATGCATGCCCCACACCAACAGTTGCCTGACTCACTCCCTCTCTTTAAATCCCTGCCTAGGCTGCAGGATTCTGCAGCATTCAATACACACCCCCATCACATCTGCATCCCAGCGGTTCTTGCCCAGACTCACTCTTTATGTAAGCCCCACACATGGCCTACCCTTGGTCACTGCTTACTCCCTATTGGTATATCTGAACATCGCACCCACATTTGTATGCCTCCGTGTTTCTGTACCTCTATTCCTTTTGCCTGAACTGTTCATCTCTCAAAAAAAAAAATACCAGCAGCTAACATTTAGTGAGCTTAAATATGTGTCAGACACTGTGCTAAGCACTTCAGTGCACTAATAGTATAACCATCTATAATAATAAAAGCGTGATATGATAATTAGACCGGATGTCCTTCTGGACAACCTTCCCGATGAAGCCACGGTGAGGCAGAGTCAGCCGCCGCCAACACAGGAGCCAAGTCCCTTGCACGAATTTGGTGAATCAGGTCTCTAGTTTTATATATGAGAAAACTTAGGCTTAAATGACAATAAATGGCAGAGATGGCCAACACAGGTGCTGTCAATGCAAAAAAACAGTAAGTGTTTTTCTCCACCATAAAAAATACCCTCTTGATGAGAACTACAGATCTCTACAGGACCAGCTCCAATGAATGTTACCTTCAGTCACTCCCCCCAGCAGATAAAATGTATTCATTTGGATGTTTATGCCCATTCTGTGTTCACAAAAGATTACAGAATTATATACAACAATAAATATATAAAGTAAATATTAAAAGAAATCAAGAGACTAGAAAACAAAAGGAGGACAATAAAGCCAGAGGGGTAGTGAGCTTATCAAAATGTACACTACAATGGACTGGAGAAGGGGTCATTATCCTAGAGCAGGGGTGGGCAAACTTTATGACTCGAGGGCCACAATGGGTTCTTAAACTGGACCGGAGGGCCGGAACAAAAGCATGGAGTGTTTGTGTGAACTAATATAAATTCAAAGTAAACATCATTGCATAAAAGGGTACGGTCTTTTTTTTTTTTTTTTTTAGTTTTATTCATTTCAAACGGGCCGAGGGCCGTAGTTTGCCCACGGCTGTCCTAGAGGCTACTGAGTAGGCAAAGCAAAGAGCGAAACAAGATTCACAATGAGCATCCCTGTTCTGTTGCCACCTCTATCCAAAATGAGAATAAATAATAGAGAGACAATAACCTAGTCCTAGGCAACAGAACAGAAAGGAGAAAAGCAAGTGGATGAAATAAATTTTTCTTCCACAGACTGAAATGGACTCAAATGTGCAAGATTTTTTTTTTTTTTTACCCTAATCTAGCACAGATATGGTAACTTTCTTGGTATGGACAGTTGCTTTAGGAGGCAGCCTGGCAATCCACAAATTTTCATTGTATTTATTTGAGGAGTTATGCATAAGCCCCCTCTCACATGGCTGACATTTCAGCATCCAAACACCAAAGTGAGGTGAAGGGAGAACACTGCATTTAGAGAAAAGATACAGACATAATTTTTCATTTCTATGATTTCTCACCTACATTCATTAAACTGATGGTTTGATTTCTCAAATTTCCAGGAGATCAAAAC